TGACCTCCACCCCTTTGCTTCACCCGTTGCCGCTTCGGTCGAAATCGTGAGAGTGAGAGGAGGACACCCGGGCGGAGATCGAGCTCGCCCGCTGCTGCTCTAGTAAAAGAAATTGTGGAGAGGGCGAGGAGGTTGCCCGAGCGAAGATCGAGCTCGCCTGCTATCAGTTCGCTCCGCGCCACCGCCCCTCTGCTCCGCCGCCGCTGCTCCAGCCAAAATCGTGGAGATGACGAGAAGGTTGTCTGGGCAGAGGTCGAGCTCGCCTGCTGTTGTTTCGCTCTGCCACCACCCCTCTGCTCTGCCCACCACCGCTACAGCCAAAATCGTGGAGATGGCGAGAAGGTTGTCTAGGCAGAGATCGAGCTCCCCTGCCGTCGATTTGCTCTGCCACCGCCCCTCTGCTCTGCCCACCACCGCTACAGCCAAAATCGTGGAGAGGGCTAAGCGAAGATCGAGCTCGCTTACTGTCGGTTCACTCCTACCGCCGCCGCTCTGCTCCACCTGCCTATACCACACGCCATGCTCCGCAAGAGTAGGGAGGGGTTTCAAGTGAGAGTGGGAGCTATGGCCGCGGTTAGATGGGATATTTGGAAGATAAGTGGGTGGATCAGACACTGAGGGGGCTAATTGCGAAGATGCAACAACGCTGGACAAACACGTAGGAATGTCAACCTGGTCAGCTATGTTTTGGACCACGGTGATTCATTTAAACAAGCTAGATTATGGACCTTGATGCTGATTTTACGATTTTAAAGATCATGTAATTAAGTGACATAATGCTTCAACTTTAAGAACTGATGGTATACTTTACTCTTTACTCTTTGATAGAAAAATGCCTGTGCGTTGCAACGGGTAAAAAAATTCTAATGATAATATACGTTTTTCATGTATAATCATGTCAGTGACAATGTTTCTATTTTAATGACCGGCTTGTTTTTTTATAAACAGTGATTTTTTCCTTGCGCGATTTTCTCAAATCATTTTTCAGAAATGGCGCATTTCTTTCTAAAAGTTTTTTCCTAACATGTTTTTTTTCTTTTTTACCGACGAAGAAAACCATATTTTTCTCTTTTTTTTTGCTTTTCTTTTTTCGTGTGTGTTTTTGCCTGTGTGTGTGTTTTTGCCTGTTTTCTCACACGTTGTTTTTGCTTGTTTTTTTCGAATGTTTTTTTTTGCTTTTTTCCAATACAGGAGAATATATGACGAAATAAAGCCATGTAGTAGATGGCAAAAAATCGATGGATCCTATATGATTCAAGCATTCATCAATTAAGCTTTTTTCTGACAATTTTTTCAGAGCGATTTGTTTTTTAATAGATGGTGTTTTGTTCTTGTACGGTTTTTTAAAACTATTTTTTTATAAATGGCGCGTTTTTTCTGACAATTTTTTCCTCGCATGTTTTTTTAAAATATTTTACCGATGATGGAAATATTTTTTCTCGCGCGTTTTTATTTTTCCATTGAAGATGGAAAACCTTTTTAGCTTGTTTTTTTGCGCTTTTTTCTGACTTTTGCCCCACGCGTTTTTTTGAACCGTTTTATTTTCTCGTGCATTATCTCTTTGATTAGATTAGAGATAGAGAAGAGATATATACTGGTTAGAAATCGGATTTTGTTTTACCACTTTCTTAGGGAATCGGACGAACTTTTTTAAAATTTTTTTGTCTTTATAGGAATCAGACTTTTTTTTCGTTTTTAAAAGAATCGGATCTAACATTTCTTTTCACCACTTTTTTTTTTTTGCCTTTTATATGAATCAGATTTTTTTCCATTCGGATCTACAGTTTTTTTTCGCCACTTAGGGGAAAAAGACTTTTGTTGTTGTTGTTTTTCTTTATTCTCTTTTTTGTGCGGCTTTTCTTTTTATGCATCTTTCTGCCTTTGTTCTCTCTCTTTTATTATTTTTTTAACAAAAATGACCTCAAGTACCTTATTGCAAAATTATAGGGACTCAAATATAAATATAAAAATTACAAGGACTCAAATGCAAAAGTACAAACCCAAAAATTAAAATCATATAAAAATGGAATACTCTCAATATTTAGGTTTCGTTTTTGCAAATAGATCTTTAATCCGGCACATTAATTTTTTTCACCAATCTAGAGTCGGACTTTCTTTTTCCGTTCTTGAGAGGGGGTCGGATATAGGAGTCGGACTTTTTTATTTTATTTTTTTGGCTTTTTTTTTTACGAATGAAGGAAGCATCTCTTATTTTTTTATTTATTACTAGCAAAAATACCCGTGCGTTGCAACGGGTGAAAAAATTTTAATGATAATATACTTTTTTCATGCATAATCATGTCAATGGCAATGTTTGTATGGATCGTTTATAGACAACCTTACCGATGCTTGATTTACCTAAAATAATTAGATTATTCATGTGATAACATGCATATAATCTAAAATACTCTTTCAGTCTCATTCGTGCAACTAGTAACAGGATCAATTGAATCCTACACTGCCTTACATGGTCAAGTCTACGCAAAATAGAGTCACCGTGCACTCTTCTCTAAATAACAATTAAAAATATGTTTATTTTTTAATATTACATCTATGTTATCAAGAATAATAGCTATACTTAACAAAAATAGCCTGATATCTGCATACAGAGACATGCAGGGTTTCCAAGACTGTTGCTTTTTCCAATAAACGTTCGTTACATGAGAATAGATGAGGAAACAAAAGCCGTGCAAGAGATGGAAAAAAAAACAATGGATTCTATACAGCTCAAGCGTCTATCAATTTTATCTTGTGTTGAGTCGAACAGTTCTTAGAAGCCGTTCTTATTATAAATGACATTTTTTTTCTCGTTTTGAGTAAGACGGTTTTCTCTAACTTTTTTTTTAGAAATGGTGTTTTTTCTCTCGTGTTGAGTAATAGAAACAACGGTTTTTTCTCGCGTTGAATCCGATTGTTTTTCGATCCCTTTTTTTAGAAACAGTGTTTTTTTCATGATAGTTTTTCCAAAGCGGCTTGTTTCTTTATAAACAGTGTTTTTTTCATGCAGGGTTTTCTCAAACCATTTTTCAGAAATGGCGCATTTTTTTCTGACAGTTTTTTCCTAGCATGTTTTCTTTTTTGCTTTTTTTTCTCGCGTGTTTTTTTTGCTTGTTGTTTCTTACATTTTTTTCTCACGCGTCATTTTTTTCTCGTGCGTTTTTTTGCTTGTTTTATTTTCTTTTTTCCAATACAGAAGAAGAATAGACGACGAAACAAAAGTAGTGTAGGAGATGGAAAACAAATAGACGGATCCTATCCAACCCAAGCATCCATCAATTTAGTTTTTTTTCTCACAGTTTTTTCAGAGCATGCTTTTTTTTATATAAATGGTGTTTTACCTCTTTACTTGCGCGGTTTTTTCAAACCATTTTTTTAAAATAACGCGTTTTTTCTAACAGTTTTTTTTGCTCGCATGTTTTTTAAGGACGATGGAAATATTTTTTTCTCGCGCGTTTGTTAAATTTTTTACGGACGACAAAAACCTTTTTTTAAGCATTTGTTTGCGCTTTTTTCTGACATTTTTTTCTCATGCATTTTTTTTGCTTTTTTTTCAATTTTTTTTAAACCGTTTTTATTTTCTCGTGCATTTTTTCTGTTTAGTTCTACGATGTAAACTTTTCTTTGTAAATATTTTGATTAGATTAGATTAGATATAGAGAATAGATATTTACGGACTACTAAAACAAATATGAATAGAAATCGGACTTTTTTCGCCCTTTTTACTTTTTTTTTTATTTTTTACAAACAGCTTTTTGTTGCCACTTTTTCAGGAATCGGACGGATCTTTAGATGTTTTTCCGTTTTTTAATTCTTTTTCGGATTTTTTTTGTTTTTCGGCCACTTTTCTTTTTTATTCCGCCTTTTACAGATATCGTACTTTTTTTTCCTTTTTTATGGGAAACGATCTACGGTTTTATTTTTTGTTTTTTTTTTGCCACTTTTGAATCGGACTATTTTTGTTAGTTGTTTTTTTCGCTATTTTCTCTCCGTCTTTTTCCCCTTTTTAAGAGATCGGAACTTTTTTGCTCGGGGGATCGGACTTTTTTTTTTGTTTTTTTTCGCTTTTCTTATTTAAACGGTATTTTTTTCTCGGACTTTTTTTTCCCTTTTAAGGGATCGGATATTTTTTTCCCCAGGGGAATCGGACTCTTTTTGTTTTGTTTTTTTTTTTCGCTTTTTCTTATTTATTAAACGGACGAAGGAAACGTTTCTTACTTTTTAAGTAGTAGTAGAGATAGATATTATTATTATTATTATTATTATTATTATTATTATTATTATTATTATTATTATTATTATAAGTAGTAGAGAAGATAGAGATAGAGAATCGGATTTTTTGAAAAAAAATTTCGCCCTTTTTTACCGCGTTGACGGAATCAGATTCGTTTTTCTTTTCCCTTATTTTTGCCTTTTATTGGATCGGACATGTTTGTTTTTTTCTTTTTTTCGCCCGGATTTTTTTTGGATCGGACTGATTTGTTTTTTTTTTCTCCCGGTTTTTTCGACGGACGATGGAAGTACCTTTTTATTTTTTTAAGTACTAGAGAAGAGATAGAGAAGAATGTGCTTGTCAATTCTGGTGGGGTGTCGCTACTTCGATTCCTTGGTGGAACGATTACATGAAACTAGCGGTTCATTGATCTTCGTCCATCGTACTGGGGTTAGTGGGGTGGATTATGTTATCTCTACCATGTATATTTTAATTTGAAAAAATAATGGGTAGAAAAAACTATCAATTATACGTGACGAAACATTGAGATATATGTATTAGAGAGATTAGTTTGAATAAGCCAGGATTAATTAGATGTCCTCGTTAAGGATGAGGAAAAATGTAATAATTTGTACTACGCGGTAACCTATGAGAAGGATAAACTTAATCATAACCCAAATGACCTGAAGATATTTAATGTAAAATTTTATCTCTAATGATATCTTAACCGTTTTATAAGCCCTATATAAGCTGAAGCGAAGCCACACGTACCGTATCGACACAACTCCTTTCCCATCGATCTGATCTCCCGTGTCCCTTCTCTCGTTTCCCTGGCAATGGAGAACGCCGGCGCCGGCGATGGCGCGCCCAAGCACTACCCGGGCAAGATGACCGTCTTCGTCTTCATCGCCTGCCTCGTCGCCTCCTCCGGCGGCCTCATCTTCGGCTACGACATCGGCATCTCCGGTAAGCAGCCGCCGCCGCCGCTCTTGCATATTCTTGATATACGATGTTACGTGCACTGACGATGCATCCATGGATTGATGGATTTGTTGTGCAGGTGGCGTGACGTCGATGGACCCGTTCCTGTCGCGGTTCTTCCCGTCGGTGTACGCCAAGGAGAAGGAGGTGGTGGACACGAACCAGTACTGCAAGTTCGACAGCGAGCCGCTCACGCTCTTCACCTCGTCGCTCTACCTCGCCGCGCTCATCGCTTCCCTCTTCGCCTCCGTCATCACCCGCAAGTTAGGCCGCAAGATGACCATGCTCGGCGGCGGCTTCATCTTCCTCATCGGCGCCGTCCTCAACGGAGCCGCCGTCAACGTCGCCATGCTCATCATTGGCCGCATCTTGCTCGGCATCGGCGTCGGCTTCAGCATCCAGGTGATCATCACGCTGTGTTATACCAAACAGATCAATCTCGTTAACCTGTTACTTAATTGGATTCTTTTGATACAAAACATTCTTCAATCTGTTCATGCATGTTACACCTGTTTGTGGACGTTTGACGCAGGCTGTGCCGCTGTACCTGTCGGAGATGGCGCCGGCGAAGATGAGGGGCATGCTGAACATCATCTTCCAGCTCATGATCACCGTCGGCATCCTCTTCGCCAACCTCATCAACTACTTCACCGACAAGATCGCCGGCGGCTGGGGATGGCGCGTCAGCCTCGGCCTCGCCGCCGTCCCGGCCGTCATCATGACCGTCGGCTCCATCCTCCTCCCCGACACCCCCAACTCGCTCCTGTCCCGCGGCAAGGAGAACGAGGCACGCACCATGCTCCGCCGCATCCGTGGCACCGAGGACATCGGCCCGGAGTACGACGACCTCGTCGCCGCCAGCGAGGCCACCAAGGCCATCGAGAACCCGTGGCGCACGCTCCTCGAGCGCCGGTACAGGCCGCAGCTGGTGATGTCGGTGCTGATCCCGACGCTGCAGCAGCTCACCGGCATCAACGTCGTCATGTTCTACGCGCCCGTGCTGTTCAAGACCATCGGATTCGGCGGCACGGCCTCGCTCATGTCCGCCGTCATCACCGGCCTCGTCAACATGTTCGCCACCTTCGTCTCCATCGCCACCGTCGACCGATTCGGCCGCCGCGTGCTCTTCATCCAGGGCGGCATCCAAATGATCATAGCGCAGGTACGTAACACACAAAACCCATCGATCAATTCGATCAGATACAAAATCAAACACACATAATTTAATTCGGATGATGATCTTGCATGCGCACAGTTTATTCTTGGGACACTGATCGCCGTCAAGTTCGGGACGGCGGGCGTGGCGAACATCTCGCAGGGTTACGCCATCGTGGTGGTGCTGTTCATCTGCCTGTTCGTGTCGGCGTTCGCGTGGTCGTGGGGGCCCCTGGGGTGGCTGGTTCCCAGCGAGATCTTCCCGCTGGAGATCAGGTCGGCGGCGCAGAGCGTGGTGGTGGTGTTCAACATGGCGTTCACCTTCTTCATCGCGCAGATCTTCCTGATGATGCTGTGCCGCCTCAAGTTCGGGCTCTTCTTCTTCTTCGGCGCCATGGAGCTGATCATGACGGGGTTCGTCTTGGTCTTCCTGCCGGAGACCAAGGGGATCCCCATCGAGGAGATGGACAGGATCTGGGGGGAGCACTGGTACTGGAGCCGCTTCGTCGGCGCCGGCCGCAACCGGGTCATGCAGATGGCCTCCACCAACGTGTGATGAGTAGTGACTTACCATGTCACGTGTTCTATCTATCTTACAGCTCTAGTGCGGTTTTTGGTACATGCAGTAAATTTAATTAGAGTTTAGCTTGTGACAAGGACGTCCGGTGTGTGAATTGCTGAGTAGTAGTAGTATTTTATATATTGGACTACTTTAATTTGATGAAGACACACGACTGCATTGTCTGTGCTTTCCCTTTACTATGATCAGAAATTTTGATCAATTTTGTGCTTTCCCTTTATGTTATTCTTTTTATTTATTTATTTGGGTATTATGAACTTCCCTAGATCTTCAGAATTTTGATCAAAGTACAATTTTGATCAATTTTGTGCTTTCCCTTTATGTTATTCTTTTTTTTATTTATTTGGGTATTATGAACCTCAAATGATTTATGAAAACTTTGCTAATCTGGCATAGGACAGCTTAACTCAAGTACGCCGAATATTTTATTAAGCACTAATTTTGGATTTAGGGCATACAGGAAAGAATTAAAAATATATATAAACCAAGAATCCAGATGCTTAAAAAAATTAAGCTTTCGGCGAATATTTCTAGTTACAACATCTTGATGATATTTCCAGCTACAACTTCTTGATTTCTATCTACAACTTTTTTATGGGAACAACCAAGAGCTATGTGGAGTTTCGTGGCGTGCACAATTGAGACTTCGAATGAGATCTTTAATGTTGTGCACAATAAGAACTTTTTACATTTGCTTTCCAGCTACAACTTCTTGATTTCTATCTACAACTTTTTTATGGGAACAACCAAGAGCTATGTGGAGTTTCATGGCGTGCACAATTGAGACTTCGAATGAGATCTTTAATGTTGTGCACAATAAGAACTTTTTACATTTGCTTAGATAGCTTTTTGTTTGTTAGCGCTCTAATATTATTCATCCATACACGAATATTTTCCAATCCATAATCATCAAGTTAGAACGATGTGACCATAACAATACTGGATACTAAAGAAAAAACACTAGGAGAACACAAAAAAAGGAACAATGGGTATATCAACAAATAAGTATATTGTATAACGACTTAATTTGTAGATCACCAAGCAGCAGGTATATATTATTTACTACATTCATTCAGCAAAAATAGGGATATAATATTATTATTTATTACTAGTACATTCAGATTCAACCAAATAAAGATATTTTTAGGGACCAGCCGGCGGGTCATTTCTTTTGCTACAGCTACCCTATCGTCATGTACACAGAACAGTAGAATACATCCTCACTCATTCCATCCCCAGCCTCCCAATTCCGTTAGAGCAGTAATAATTTACCCTAATGGCCAATTAAAGCAATTAACAACCCCATGGAAAATCATTACCTAACGGAAATTACATGTACATGCAGATTTTTAGAACTTATCAAATGGTACCATGTTTTTCTCGCTTCAATTAATTGACAGCTGGTGATATTATTTTGAAACAAGATAAATACTCCTTCAAAATTATGCATGAATATAATGTAAAATAATTTGCCTGCCATATATATTGAACAGTTTTTTAAGGAATTTTACAGTTCTTGAGGAAAGTATCTTAAGGTACCTAAATTTTACAAGATATGCTCACGTCCAACAAAAAGTACCTCGAGGTACCTAAATTTTACCAGATTTGCTCAGGTCCAACAAAAAGTACCTCGAGATATCGGTACCTCACCCATCATACCAAGTTAGATCCAGCAATCACTAAAATTTTTAGTACCTTGAGGTAATTAATATCTAGAGATATCAAATTTTACACTAGAAAATATTATACCAGTACGTTCTAAAAGATGTAAAATTACCCCTTTTTATCGTTAGTGCTATTCAACAGTTCAGATTCGCAGTAAATTTTTTGGAACTCTTAAAATACTTCTGAAAAGTGCACCATATTTCATATTTTTCATTCAGAGCATATCCCAAAACTACGATAGAAAACTATCTCTCGTCCTTCCTTAATTATGAGTTCAATGACAAGCACGCATGGCGCAATGGATCGATGTAGCCAGCAGATTCAATTACGTAATCCGAAAACAAATTGAAAGATAAACGTTTACGGCACGAATGTCATACTGTGGAGGTAATCTCGACCTTGCCGCCGGCCCCAGCGCCGACGAACCGTCTCCAGTACCAGTGCTTACCCCAGATCCTGTCCATCTCCTCGATGGGAATCCCCTTCGTCTCCGGCAGGAAGAAGAAGACGAACCCCGTCATGATGAGCTCCATGGCGCCGAAGAAGTAGAAGAGGCCGAACTTGAGGTGGCACAGCATCATCAGGAAGATCTGCGCGATGATGAAGGTGAAGGCCATGTTGAACACCACCACCACGCTCTGCGCCGCCGACCTGATCTCCAGCGGGAAGATCTCGCTGGGAACCAGCCACCCGAGGGGTCCCCACGACCACGCGAACGCCGACACGAACACGCAGATGCACAGCACCACCACGATGGCGTAACCCCGCGAGATGTTCGCCACGCCCGCCGTCCCGAACTTGACGGCGATCAGCGTCCCAAGAATGAACTGTCCATGCAAAAATCATCCGAATTATGTGCGTTTAATAATGTATCTGATCGAATTGATCAATGGATTTTGTGTGTACGTACCTGCGCAAAGATCATTTGGACGCCGCCCTGAAGGAGGAGCTTGCGGCGGCCGAGGCGGTCGACGGTGGCGATGGAGACGAAGGTGGCGAACATGTTGACGAGGCCGGTGATGACGGCGGACATGAGCGAGGCCGTGCCGCCGAATCCGATGGTCTTGAAGAGGACCGGCGCGTAGAACATGACGACGTTGATGCCGGTGAGCTGCTGCAGCGTCGGGATCAGCACCGACATCACCAGCTGCGGCCTGTACCGGCGCTCGAGGAGCGTGCGCCACGGGTTCTCGATGGCCTTGGACGCCTCGCTGGCGGCGACGAGGTCGTCGTACTCCGGGCCGACGTCGTCGGTGCCACGGATGCGGCGGAGCATGGCGCGCGCCTCGTTCTCCTTGCCGCGGGAGAGGAGCGAGTTGGGGGTGTCGGGGAGGAAGAGGGAGCCGCCGGCCATGATGACGGCCGGGACGGCGGCGAGGCCGAGGCTGACGCGCCACCCCCACCCTCCGGCGATCTTGTCGGTGAAGTAGTTGATGAGGTTGGCGGCGAGGATGCCGACGGTGATCATGAGCTGGAAGCTGATGTTCAGCATGCCCCGCATCCTCGCCGGCGCCATCTCCGACAGGTACAGTGGCACAGCCTGCACATAGCCATGGTTGTCACGTCACATTCGAACGAAATTAACTCCGAGGAGTGTGCAGTGTACTACTGTAATTTGCATGAAGCGTGCATGCAAGTTATCCGTAAGATCCGGTCATGCAGATCGTTTAACGCTCAATCCGGATTTAGTTTCATGCCATTTTCAAATGAATTCTTTTAACAATTTTCGCGCACGCATGCATCGTTATCCAAAACTTGAATTGCGTGCATGATATGCCTTTTTTTTTAGACCAAATGCAGAATTGGAGAGATTGGGTACGACGTGGATGACCTGGTTGCTGAAGCCGACGCCGATGCCGAGGAGGATGCGGCCGATGATGAGCATGGCGACGTCGGCGGCGGCTCCGTTGAGGATGGCGCCGACGAGGAAGATGACGCCGCCGCCGAGCATGGTGATCCTGCGGCCGAACTTGCGGGTGATGACGGAAGCGAAGAGCGAGGCGATGAGCGCGGCGAGGTAGAGCGACGAGGTGAAGAGGGTGAGCAGCTCGCTGTCGAACTTGCAGTACTGGTTCGTCTCCACCATCTCCTTCTCCTTGGCGTACACCGACGGGAAGAACTTGATCAGGAACGAGTCCATCGACGTCACGCCGCCTGCAAAGAAAATTCACGCAATCCATCAAACGATCGATCGATCGATCCATAGACTTTCTCGTTTTCGGTGTCTCAAATGTTACCGGAGATGCCGATGTCGTAGCCGAAGATGAGGCCGCCGGAGGAGGCGACGAGGCAGGCGAGGAAGACGAAGATGGTCATCTTCCCCGGGTAGTTCTTGTGAGCGCCATCGGTGTCGGTCATGGCGCCGCCGGCCATGATGGGAATTCCGAAGTGTGCGAGGAGTGAGGAGAGAGAGAGAGAGAGGAGAACAAGGCTGGACTACGATCAGTACTCACCAGTCAGGGGAGAAATGGAAGGGGGTTACGGTTAATATAGAGTGGATTACTGGATTGGATAGACTTTCACAGTCACAGTAACAGCTAGTGACCAACTAATTATTTATCCGATCCTATATATTATCCCTAATCCGTTGTTAGGCGCTGTTAGTTGCAGAAAATGTAGCGCGATCCGTTGGTGCATGGACGCAAGGCTGGCTTCTCGGTGATGTGGAGCATTGATCAGGATCGAGATACTACTAGTGTGCGTATGTGCCATCTCAAGAAAGGAAAATATAAAATGATATTTTTCGTACTGTATGGCACGTCCTATAGGCTATAGCACAAGATCAGTGTACATTATAGAGTGCTACTGCTGCAGTATGTATTATCATCGATATGTAGATATTTTACTAGTATCACACTTCAGTGCCACTAGGCCCACTCAGTAGGCCTGTGGTGTGGGCTTTAGCCCAGTATTAAGAAAGAGCTAGCTAGTGGGGTTATAGACATGTGATGGGCCGTTAAGAAAAGAAAGAAGAAAACGTCTATTTTGCCTCCTCGGTATAGTTCATCCCTTAACCAAAAAACTAGATTGGGAGGCTCCCTCAACAACCTAAACAGGTTCGTTTTGCGAACTAGATACAGATGCTCCCTTAACTGTTTAAACTGATTCATTGTGCTTCCTAAGCGGTTTGAATGACAGTGTCGTCCTATATGACACGTTGATTTGGTCTTCCTTCGACATAGCATTTATGTGATATTATAATTAGCAAACAAAAATAAAAAAGGTGGACCTATATGTAAGTCTCTCAAATCCTCTCCAATGTAAGTGGGATTCATGTGTAAGTTGCCACCCTCACCTTCTTTCTCCATGTCTCCCCACTCCTCTCTTCACTCTTTCTTTAGCAGGGTGGTGGGTGGCAACCCACGGTGAAGTGCCTCTATCGAGCTCCCTTAGCGACTCTCCGCTGAGATTTTCTCTTTGTGGCTATCTCTTCACCAAGCTCCAAAGGCGTGCACCTTGGCTTGATGTGGCGTAGATGGCAAAATAGTGGTGACGTAACAATGTTGATGGAGCAGATGAAGCTGAGGAGAAGTCCAAGGCAGATAGAAGGGATGGAGCACATAGTTGACCTCCCCCCCCCCCCCTCGTTCGATCCTCCTGCTTGCACAATGCTCACACCCGACCCGCAAGAAGGCCCACTCCTTACGGTAGAAAGTGGTTAGAGTGATGAACAGCAACATCGTGCTCCTTACCATGCTGCTCTACTAAGGCAATCTCATCTGCCCAGGGCACATGCACTCATCCCCATTGTTGTAGGACCGACAACGCCCACAAGATTGATGGTGCAATTGGCGCCACCCATAGGGAGCTCACCATGGTGTTACAGAGAGAGTTTGAAGAGAGGAGAGGGAAGAGATGGAGGAAGAAGGCTAGAGCGGCAACTTACATATGAGTCATGTATGGGTCTCATTTATATGGGAAAGGAGGAAAAAGACATATAGGTCTACCTATTTTTTGATTTTATAATGTTTTTCTGATTGTTATGCCACGCAAGGATTGCAAGTACAGAATGGAATTTTCAAAAATTTGTTAATTTCGCCCCCACTTGCAAGCACATATCTCGCACGAAAGTTTCTCTATTGTTTTCCATTTTTTGTGAATTTGGTCAAAGTTTTTTCAAATTCATTCAAGATTTGTCAAATATTTTGGCAAAAAATGTATCGAAATTCCTAAAATTTTGGTCATTTCATGAATGTCAGAAACCTCAGCAAAAGAAAAAAAACCCATTTTGAAATTGTAACCCTGATGCCACGTAGTGCTACATAGGCACCACGTCAGAAGAATACTATGTCAAAGTGTAATATAGAACAAAACTGTTGTCCAAACCGCTCGAAGAGGCAAATGAACCGGTTTTCGTCGTTGAGAGATTCAAGTTAGACTTTTTCCGTAAAAAGAAAAAACAAGAGCAAAATAGCACTAAGCAGGGCCAAATGGGCTGTTGGCCCATTCGGGGAGAGGGGACGAAGAGATTAGATAGAGATCAATAATGTCACCTCGGTCAAGTCAATGAGGTTGCTAGCACAGTAGTACCCTCGCTATTAGTCTGCTTAACTAAACTCAACAACCTTTTTTTCCCCTACCGCTACCGCTACCGCTTCTCTGAAACAGTCAAGGTGAGACCGGTGAGAGTGATCAAGGGAACAGTGCTAATTAGCGTGACAGGATCCAATTATAATTTGCTAACTCACGCGGCAATAATGCACGGCGATGACAGGGCCCTTCTGATGCCAACGTGTACACGGTTGGCCATGAGCCGACTGATGAAGTTAAGCTAATTAAATCCAGCCCACAAACACGTAGGACAGCGCAAGTCGATACTTAATCAGCGAACAAATTACTCCCTCCATCTATTTTTTATAGTCATATTTCATCTCGGCACACAGACTAAGTAATTCTACTTATTATCCATTTAAATATGCTACTAGTCATTCCTCATAAACAAACAATTCATTAATATTTACATTTCTCGATGCCCATGTAACCAATCTTGTGTGGAAGAATGGAGAGTCATGCATTAAATCCGAGAAAGTCATTAAGATAATAGGTTGTTGAATTCAAATATGCCTATCAAAAATAAATTTTTCAGATTTAGAAATATTACTATCAAAAGTAGATGGAGGGAGTACTAATTAATTAAACGCGGTTGCTTTCTCGCCATAAATTTGCTCCTCCTTGTCGGCACCGTTAAATGATAGTACGATTTATTAAAAAAAACACTTTATGTGTAAAAAAAATACACTAAAAATTAAATAAATTTATTTTAAAAATTATAATAGCTAGTTAACATCTAACTAATCGTATGCTGATCGAGTGCCTTGTACTAGTATAAGACAAGCTGCTAATCAGCCATTAGCAGCCAAAATAGCACATCAGCTATTAGCTAGCCGAATTGGAGAGAATTCTATTCTCTTTTCTTTTTCCAAGTTTCAACCGCCACAACAATTGGACTATATGTGCTACTAATATTCGGCTATTCCATTCCAGAATTCCACCACGACAGTTGACGAAACGGGGCAACCCGATTCCCACACTAGCCCACAGCGTATAATCACATTTCCCGTTAATTTTTTCCTTCCCAACCACCAAACCCCTCCCATTTTTCTCCTCCCCAACCATCGCAAAAGCTTAAGCTACTTCCTCTCCTCCTCGTCCTCCTCTGCTCGGCGCCAAGAAGGAGAGAGCCGAGAGGGTGTGGATCGAGCAGCTAGCCGCCATGGACCGCTCCAAGTCGTACGCCGGCGGGCGGACGACGATGCAGATAGAGCCCTACTACGGCGGCGGGGGAGGCGGTGGCGGGGGGAGGCCGGTGGACTTCCGGTCCTACTCGTACAGCGGCGGCGGCGGCGGCGGGAGAGGCGGCGCGGGGGCGTCGTCGTACCAGTACCAGTACGAGTACGGCGGAGGCGGGAGTGGGAAGGTGGGGTACTGGGGGTCGGTGGCGGAGGAGGAGCGGGGGACGGGTCAGGCGGCGGCGGAGGCGGCGGCGAAGCGGAGCAAGTCGAAGCGGCGGTGGCTGGCGCTGGGTGACCCGGACATGGAGCGGAAGCGGCGGGTGGCGTCGTACAAGGCCTACTCCGTGGAAGGCAAGGTCAAGGGCTCCTTCCGCAAGAGCTTCAAGTGGATCAAGGATCGCTACCTCCACCTCGTCTATGGCTGGTCCTAGCTATTCTACTAGCTACTCCCATCGATCGATCGATCTCTTCTTCTCTTTCAGAGTTCAGAGTTCAGAGTTCAGACAGCAGCAACCAACCAACACCACATCGATCATCCCCTGCATCAACTGTATGCGTAGTTTCATATCTTCTTCTTCGCCTTCGCTTCTCTTTTTCAATTTATTTTCCTCTGGTTTTGGCTTTCTCTTCTTGTTTTGATGCTCGATCATAGCAACGACTGAAGGTATATTACAAAAATTACAAATATATATAAAAAAAGCTTCTTCTTTTGTCATCTTCTTTTATTAGTTGTTGTTCTTGCTCAAAGTCTTGAAGGTGGCAAAGCAATCAAAATCTGGTGTATATGTAGCTAAATGAGTTGTTCCTATAGCATCTTGAACGAACGAATCTCTATGCTTATATGGATGAGTGGTTTATGTGATTGATCATGTGGTTTTTCTTGTTTATTTACTTCTAGATGATCGAGTTGGTTGCAATTAGGACGACTTGGTAATCGCTGAATTTGTTTTCTTTGGTCAATTATTGGGTGCTCGAGCTCGACTGATAGAATCGGTGTCTGAACCTGTCTGATTGCGTGCGTGGATTGTGTTATTGGTTTTAATTGGCTTTCGTGGAAGGGGGGTGAAGTGAAAGGAAATTCGCCTTTTAAATTTATCAACCGGTTGGCTATGACAAAGGTAGCAACAATTGATGGAGAAAAAAGGTTAGTACTCCCAGTTGCGACTAGCGACTGCCTTTGTAAAAAGCACCATGACGTCGCAAGATTACTACGTTTTGACGAGTTCTTGGTTGTAAAGGCTTCAACACTAGTACAACTGGTACAACAGGAATACAATTCTGTCCACCCATCATGTCTGAAATCTTCGGTTGGTTTAATTTTCATCCCCTAGATAGACTCCAGTTCCAACTCCAATCTCTTCCCTAGCTGAAACCTACCTAAACAGTTTCAGCTCCATGTAAAATAGGAGCGGAGCTAGTGAGCACTATTACAAAATAAGCTAAAGAGGTGTAGCTGGATTTAGGCTGCTTCACAACTTTACTTCAGACCCAACTCCTATAGTTAAATTTAGAAGTTAGAGCTCTACCAAATAGACCATTTGTAGTCGCTCCAATCATGTTTGATGGTGATTAATTTTTTACCCATGTGGTGTTCATGTAATATCCTACGTAGACGAGATGGCCCGCTTTTTTTTTTTGAAACTTAAACAACCATTAATATAGAGCGACAGAGTTCACGGGAATAAATCCCAGTACATTGCCAAACAGATAAAAAGGAAGCATAAAACCATCCGTTTCGAAAGAACGGGGAACTGCACTAAGGCTACAAACTTCATGATGAAACCACGCAGCAGAGAAGGTGCACATCAACAGGGAGCTGCGGCAATGCCGCGACGAATGCAACCTTGGGCCTCCTTTGGCGTGCAGCACGCTTGACAAACTGGTAATCCCCATCCGGTTGCCTCCACGAAGACTGCACAAAAGGGAGGTTTGCTGCTGAGCCGTAGATTTTGAGGGGGCATCACCGGACTCAGCAAGAGAAGTCCACGGAGTTCGTCGTTAAATCTGAGAAGCGTGAGCTCAACCCGAACAACAAACCTTGCATGGAATGAGCTGGTGGGAAACACAGAGGAAGAAGGAGCCCACATCCAGATCCCCAAACCCACTGAAGAACTCGAATGGTGGCAAACAAACTGCTGTCTTCTTGGATCGACATGCGAGAAAGGGGGAGAGAAATCCTGCGAGACTTGACTGATGGAACCATGGTATAGGAAGCACTCAAGCATGCACTGGCAGAATCGCCGCCACCTCGCCAACAGGCTGTCAAGCACCACGAGCAGCAAGCTCCGGGCGACAGCTTGCCCTGGCGAAGCAGGCCTCAAGAAGCTGCCGCCGCCGTCTCTAGGAACGGGGCGGCGACCTCCCGGACACCGACGACGAAGCCACTGACACTGCCACAGGGAGCCAGCTTTTTCCGTCGATTCGTCGGGACGGCGACATCCCGGACACCGACGACGAAGCAACTGGCACCGCCGCAAGGAGCCGGCTTCTCCCGGTCGCCGACGACGATGTAGCCGCCGCCGCCGCAAGGAACCAGCCTTTTCCGTCGATTCATCCACCGGTCTTCGGATCTCGCATCTCCACCGCCACCAACCGCCGCCGCATCCGACCACACCGGCACCCATGGAGCTCGCCGGCAAAAGACCAACTAGGGACAAACCCTAACTACAGGAGACACCTGACGACCTAATAACAGATTAACAACCTAATACTAGTAGAGGGGAGGTGGCCGGACCCCTCCTCCAACCCTCGCTGGCGGCAAGCCACTGGAATCGAAGGGGAAGAGGGGCCGGTGAGGAGAGATTTTGGGGAGAGTACTGTAGAGGGAGGAGGGGGAACCAGAGAAGGGGAAAGTTCCTGTATGCACTGTCAGATGGCCCACTTAATAACCAGCAAGTGTGTGAGAAAGGACGAGACAAAGGAATGCACATCCTACTACAAGTGCGCTCCACCACTACCTTAATCCTCTATAAATATATATCATGCTATGTAATTTAAGTCACCTAACTATAACAAGTTGATCGATTTGTGCAACATCAAACTTCACATAGATCGGTAAAAACCGTTATAAAATGGTTAGAAGAACGAGTTCTATTATGTTTCGAGAATTGAAAAGCCAGTGGTTTTGGCTAAAAAGGAATTGCAAAATAAGTAGTTGGCGAGACAATTTGTACCATGTATATTTTTCGACAACCAGGCAAGTAATTAGAAGGTCTTTTAAATTAGCATGTGTGCAATGGCAATAAATAAATAAATAAAGAATAGTAAAGATACCAACCACATGACTATTTGAAATTCTAGGGAGCATCATAATAATAATGGAAATGCGAGCCAGCTTTCGCAATTGCCCTCACAGGTGTCTTGCCCTCACAGGTGTCTCAACTTTCATGTGGTTGAAATGTTACTTGAGCTTATGCTAAACTCTTGCTATCATTACTAGGAACAATCTTGTGTTTTTCACATTACTGCACCGATGGGATTGACGGCCAATTAGGAATAAAAATTTAAAATATACCTTTTTATTTAATATTTTGCGTTTATATATATGCATGGGAATGATTTGCAAAAATATACCTCTCCCGCGTGATGGGAACGCTGGACCGTTACAAACACGCGACATAGTTTCGGTTCCGCGGGTCGGAAGCGCGGAATAGGGTCGATCGCGTTGCCCTGTCACTCGGGAGCGTGGTGGAGAACGCGGTCCCGCGGAACCATGGCGCGCACCGGCTGCTTAGCAGAGGAAGCTAGCTTGCACAGCTGCTTAGCTATGTATATTCTTTGCTTTGATTAAGGCCAGGGTGATTAGTAAGTGTTGCCGCACCACTGGCAAGGTCCGCGCCGGTGCCGCAGAGCGATTCCGCGTTACCATTGTACGGAAGAGAGTATATTTTTACAAATTATTCCCATGTATATATATAAATGCAAAATATTAAAAAAGAAAATATATTCTCAAATTTTGTCCGGCCAATTAGAGCCCCTAGAATTAATCAAATGAAGCAAACTAATAGTACTAACCATTTCGATTATGTATCTTATGGGACCTGTCTTGTCGCATTCATCATAGGTCATTGGAGAAATGAGAATGCATTACCGATTGTACACGATACCACCGGTAGTAGTTAAAAGGCGTTTAATTAGTTTCATTTTCCAACTTTCTGGCTGAAATTTCCATGTATTATTCAGTGTTCATGCTAATAACTTTCTGATGAGAAAGAAAGCTTTACTTCTGCAGTTCATAGTGCTGGAAAAGTTTTTTTTTCTTCTCTCAAACAGCTCAGCCAGAGAGTTTCGTTTAATTTTCACCTGTATTTCGCGGTAACCAAAGTTACCCATGATTTTATTTACGACCAAGAAAAAAACCCCAAAACATCAGGCCTAAAGCTCACTATATTTCTCATTCCTACAAGCACTATATTAATTAATATAGTGCTTGTAGGAATAAGAAATTTATCATGCGCCTTGGAGAGGACTGGATCCCTCTTATTATGATTGTCAATAGAACCAGAGAGACAGATTATAAAACTTAGCATAGTGTCTAAATTCATTAACGTATATATGAATGTGGACAATGCTAGAAAGTTTTATAACCTAAAACGGAGAAAGTAATAATTAATATTCCAAAATATGATAAGCAATATTCCAAAATGTACATTAAAGCGATCAAGAACGGGAGAGTGAATGCATGTGGACACCCTAACCAATGTCGCCGAAGATGCACCGAGAGGGTATTGTTTAACAATTAACCGAAATAAAGATGATTAAGCATAATCATGCAGAAATTTAGTGTTTGTCTATATAGCGGCCAGCGGCATTGTAGTCAGTTCACGAAAGAAAATGAGAAGAAAATAAAATAAAATAGCTACAACTCTCTAATTAAAGTGGCAAACTATTATAAAGAAGGTAACCTATTGTGTGGTATTTTATCCTTTATATTCTGATAAGTGTTATTTGGATAAAACAATAAAACTATACATATAGAGTAGCATATTGTTGTCCTTTTCGTCAGCTCATAACGAATATGACAGCTGCTTATAAAGAATATGCCATGGCTACTTACATACATAATGGTCGCCAGAAAAATGGTTCGTTTCCATTGCTTCGTTTGTTAATTTATATATAACTTAGTTTTAGAGATCAAACTTTATAGAAGCATTTTTATATGTGAAAATTATATTAGCGGATTAATGTTTTAAAGTGCTTTCATGCAATGTTGTTTAGCTAGCTAGCTCGGCGGCGAGGTTGGTCCCCTCCTCGAGGGGGACGCGAGGCAGCACGGCCATGGGCGGCAGCGGGCTGCTGCTGGTGATCGACGGCGTCGTCGTCGTCACTACGTTTTCCTCGTCGCGCTAGCTAAAGATCCATCGTTATCCTTTCCATTAAAGGAGGCGAAATCAACGGTGATATCAGGTTTCAGATTCAAAGAAAGATGTCAAGCAAGCGCCGAATCTAAGTACTCGACTTGCCCGACCCGCCTCTTCCACTAGACCTCGTCTTTCAAAGAGCAGCAGCCATGCAAGCTTAATAGAACCTTGTCCGATCCAGAACTCCGGCTATTTCCACAACCACCGCTGCTGGAAGCCCTCCTTGCTCCCCACCCCCGAGGAGGAGGCCGCCCTCGTCGCGTCCGCCGACGGCTCGACACATCCATCGCCCCCGACAACCTCTCCTCCATCTTTCCTATTCTCTCTCTCGTTTGATTCAGAGCAGTGGGAAGCGCCACGGCCGGCAGCAGCGGGGGCTTCGAGTCCTTCTCCCCGAATGTCGCCGCCCCTTCTCCCTGCCGATCGCTGCCCTTTGCGCCATCCTTCTCGCCGGCAGTCACCCATCTCTTCGCCGCCTGTTGCACCGTCCACCCCGCTAGCCGCTGCTCGTCTCGTCGCCCTGGCCGCATCTCCTCCTCCTCTAGCGACCGCCCCTTCTCCCCGCCGGCCACCGCCCGTCGGCCGTCGCACCTGAGAGAGGAGAAGAGAAAGGAGAGGGGAGATGGGGAGTGAGGAGGAAGAAGAGGGGAGTGAGATTGATATGTGGGGCCCACGTGGGCCTCACCTTGTTTTAATTATTGTTTTTGTGTAACTGACATGTGGGCCCAAGAATTTTTATTTCTTTTTCAAATTAAATTGCCACGTAAGCCCCACGTCAATACCACGTGAGATGGAAACCGAGTCAAATTAGCCACGTAGGCGCCATGTCAGCGAAAACCGCCATCCAAACTGCTTTGGGATATATTTTGCACCGGTTTTAACAGTTGAGGGACCTATTGTATCTGGTTTTGTAGTTGAAGGACGAAAATCGTATTCATCGACAAGTTAAGGGACCTCAAATAAACTTATTCCAAATGAAACTCCAGCTTCCCAGTAAACAAAGAAAGCCCATATAGCAGAAGCAGGCCAGACCTACAATCCCTAAAAACATTGCGCCCGAACTCATGATTGTTGCATACAGTGACAGCTGGACGCAACGGTCAGCCGCCGTCCGCGAGGCAGCAAGTCGCCGTTTTGGGTTCGTTTGGAAACTTTGGATCATTGGTAATCCAAGAATTAAATTTGAAAATATAATGTTCATTTCATTTTTTCCTCAGAAATATTCGTGATACAAATTTTTTTACGAAAATATACCATCAATATCGTATAACTGTTGCACAAAAATGCGTGACGTCACGAATGGTATCGCGCGGTGAAAATGCGGGACCACGCGGTCTCGCGGAATAAAAGAGCTAGACCGAACGCTCTCGCGAAATCAAACAACCACACTGTCCAATATCTCCATTTGATTAGTAATTGATTACTCAATTAATAATTAACTAATAATAATTAGTAATTAATTTTCCTAATTAATGATTAATTAATAATTAATTAATCAATAATCAGGATAATTAATCGCTAATTAAATCATCATGGCACCGGTATCACTCCTTGCTTCAGCGATACCGAACGGTTGTCTCGTGCCGTTGCTGCGTGATACCGCTCGCGATTCCACGTTATTTTCGTGTAATATTTGTACGAGACCGATGGTATATTTCGGTAAAAAATTAATTTTGTATCCCGAATATTCTTGAGAATAAAATGAATGAAAAATATATTTTTAAATTTAATTCGCTAATCCAAATCGTGAAATATTGGTGTTTCCAAATATTTAGCCAAAATTTTTGGTGAAGTGGGGTTAATAGTTGGATAAATTTTATAAAACCCCACCTGGCAGAAGTTACACAAAACCACATGATTTTAACCCATGGCATAACCTTGTGATCCTAAAGTTTCACAAAACACACAATTAACCATTTTAATATACTCCTATATCAAAATTTTAAAAGGTGGGTATGACATTCATATGATAGATAAAATCCTCATAATTTAAAATGTGATTGTACAACTCAGAAATATGGTAGATCAAAAATCGAAATGATCAATTGTGTGGATTTATAAAACTTTAGAACCACAATAGGTGGGATTTTATGAAATATGCTCTATTTAGTTTGTTGCCAAATTGTTTTACTAGTGTTTAAGGCTATATTTGTTCCCTTGCCGAAGTAGGGTTAATTGGTTTGTTGCCAAATTATTTTAATGTTTAATTTTATGATTTTTCCTTGCTAAAAATTATTTTTTTCCCAACAAACCAAATGAAGGCCCACATAGTAATGGCTACCAATTTCTTGATGGTTGTAAATTTGGTCTACAAACCCAGCCGACGTCAAAAGACAAAACCCTTGTATCTTTGTCCTAAATTTTTTCTAGTTTTTTTTCGAGGGAAACCTCTGAAAAGGGCAGGGAGCTCCTGCAATTTCACTAATAAAAAGGAAAAGTCCATTTTATACCCTCTAACTTTGTGCTCGTCTAAAATACAACTATTAAAACCCGACACTTTAACACCTTAAGTTGTTTTTATGGTGGTTTTGGTACATGTGGATGACAATTGTATAAATGATCCACATCAACAGTTATAAGGCCAAAGCCAGATGTTTCTCCCTTCGGCTGGGTTTGCCTTGCGAGTAGCGGCAGCTAACGGGTTGACAACAAGGCTCTACACTGTGGTCGAGGGGGAGGAGGAGGACCCACCCATCTTCTTCCTTCCCCCCTCCCTTCCTATACCTTCTCCCTCCAATCTTTTTCCAAGAGAAATCGTTGGAGGCTCAGAGCTCTCGTATGCTTCCTCAAGCTAGCGCTTAGCCAAGGAGCGCAAGCTCGCCGCCGGCCTATATTCTCTTGAGCTTGGCCAAAGGTGCGGTCTCCGTTGAGCTCATTGCCGATCCCCTCTTCTCCTTGGTCAAAGGGTACGGGCTCGCTGTCAACCTCGGCGCCGACGCCATCTTCTTCGAGCTCAGCGTGGGGGTGGCTTCGTGTCAGGCAAGGAGGGGCGGCACAGCGGGAAGCTCACCGGCCGCTATGTCCATCTCGTTCTACTTGTTCCTGAGCCAATCATCTTTCTCGATATGCTTGTTCCACCGGCGTGCGGCTGTCAATCAAGGGCGACATGACCTCCAATGTGTTCTACTATGTCACCGGCGTCACCGGCCAGGCCGTCGACCAGAGCGCCATTGATGCGGTGAGGCAGAGGGTTGGCATGGACTGTCTCGTTGGCAAGGAAGAGCACCGGCAGCGGCTCTACTAGAAATCACTGTTGGATAGTATAGGGAGAGGAATATTTTAATACCATATTGAGTTGCATGCACCAATCAGTTCAACTCAAAAGCTTAAGCTTATAAGGAAAAGTGGGCAATTCACTTTATATTCCAACACTCCCCCTCACGCGAGCCTCTAGCATGGAATAGAAGTGGGCTGCAATTTTTTTATTTAATAGAAGTGGGCTGCAATTTTTTATTTAATTGCGTGCTAGCCAGGATTCGAACTCGAGACCTCCAGCTCTGATACCATATTGAGTTGCATGCACCAACCAGTTTAACCCAAAAGCTTAAACTTATGAGGAAAGGTAGTCAATTCATTTTATATTCCAACAATCCCGACCAGGTCACCACGAAGACAACAATGATGGCAGCACATTGGATTGTTGTTCTACCTTGGCAACTTTGTCAGGAGGAACTTGGTCAGCTTGGGTTGATCAAATCGTGCTCATAGACATGAAGCTAAAATGGAGAATCCAAGAAGGCAAGAACAACCCAACAATTCAGTCAAAACACATTGTTCATCTTGCTTCCTGCTACTGTTCTTCGACACACACCATGCTGCTGTACATAGAACATTCTGAAACACAATGTGAAGGTGCAGAATTGGTCGATGAATGCTCAGACAAGTCTCTGCGACCCAGCTGCTTGCTGCTGCCTCCTCCCCTCATGGAGCTACTCCTTCCCAGCGCCGTCGTTTCCGCCGGCTACTGCGCGCTCCTTCTCCGTGCCGCCGACACCGCTAGTTAACGCCGTCGCTGGCTCCGCCGCTCCAGCAAGCGGCAAGACACGCGCGCGGCTGTTGGCCACTGCACTTCACGGCGCCACTGTGTTAGTTGCCGCCACTCACAAGGCAAACCCCCAACGGAGAAAAAAACATGTCTTTGGCCCATATAACCGCTGACGTGGAGCATTTATACAGCTGGCATCCACATATGCCAAAACCACCATAAAAACAGCATATGAGTTAAAGTATCCGGTTTTAATAGTTGGAGGGTGTATTATATCCGGTTTTGTAATTTGGTGGTGTATTTTAGACAAGCACAAAAGTTAGTGGGTGTAAAATGGACTTTTCCCTAAAAGAAAAGAGTTATCCCGTTTATAAGGAAAACTAGAGAAAAAACCATTACAACAACACGGTTTAATTGAGGAAAAAACAGCAAAAATCCTAGGACGTTTTCAAAGAGACCTAATCCTTGCAAACCCAAACCTAGTAACCATGGCCAACAGTCCTACAATCAAAAAAAAAATCCTAAGACTAGAAGGACACACCGACAGAACAACGATAACGCCTAAGTCAAATGAATATAAAATTTTCACCTGGAGAGATTCCTTGAGGCGACGAAGAAACAACAGAATCCGTAGCAACATCTTCAAAAAGGGGAACACTGCCCGATGCTGTCACCACTCCTAGCGCCGGCAAGCCACCCAAGGCTTTCGCCTTAGAGTCTCATCCAACCGCCATGGCCTACAAGGAAGTTCACTCAATGTCTCATGCGCACCCAAAGTCACCACCTGTACAACAAAAGCCACGTCGGTGTTGGGTTTTCCTAACCACTGGCACCAAGCCGTCTGTAACGTCCCGCCTCTCCCAGGCCGAGCCCGCTTACATCTGGCAGCTCTCATAGGGCAGTCTGTAACGTCCCGCCTCTCTCAGGCCAAGCCCACTTACATCTAACAGCTCTCATAGGTCATAGACTGCCCTCAAGCCGTCTGTAACTTACATATGGCAGCTCTCATAGGTGGCCAAGCCCGCTTACATCTGACAGCTCTCATAAGGTCATAGACTGTCCTCAAGCCGTCTGTAACTTACATCTGGCAGCTCTCATAGGTGGCCAAGCCCGCTTACATCTGACAGCTCTCATAGGTCATAGACTGTCCTCAAGCCGTCTGTAACTTACATCTGGCAGCTCTAATAGGTCATAGACTGCCCTCAAGCCGTCTGTAACGTCCCGCCTCTCCCAGGCCGAGCCCGTTTACATCTGGCAGCTCTCATAGGTCATAGACTGCCCTCAAGCCGTCTGTAACGTCCTGTCTCTCCCAGGCCGAGCCGCTTACATCTGGCAGCTCTCATAGGTCATAGACTGCCCTCACATGCAGCTCTCATAGGTGGCCAAGCCCGCTTACATCTGACAGCTCTCATAGGTCATAGACTGTCCTCAAGCCGTCTGTAACTTACATCCGGCAGCTCTAATAGGTCATAGACTCATAGGTCATAGACTGCCCTCAAGCCGTCTGTAACGTCCCGCCTCTCCCAGGCCGAGCCTGCTTACATCTGGCAGCTCTCATAGGTCATAGACTGCCCTCAAGCCGTCTGTAACGTCCTGTCTCTCCCAGGCCGAGCCGCTTACATCTGGCAGCTCTCATAGGTCATAGACTGCCCCTCTCCCAGGCCGAGCCGCTTACATCTGGCCGAGCCCACTTACATCTGGCAGCTCTCATAAGTCATAGACTGCCCTCACAGACCAACACATGTTTTTTCTGCACACTTTGTCCTCACTCGTGTGCACCCGGGAAGAATTTCCCGGTCAATCACCCATCCCGAAATTGCTCCAGACCAAGCACGCTTAACCTCAGAGTTCTTTCGAGATCGGCTTCCAGAAAAGAAGTTGCAACTTGTTGATATGAGTATTCTATTAATCCTATTAAGCCCTAGGCCGGGATGTCACATCCTCACCCCCTTAAGACATCGACGTCCTCGTCGGTCAACCCCAGGTCAGGAACGTCCCATCCTGGCCACGTCCGTGCGTCCAGTGCCAGCGCATGTGCCATGCTGTGTGACCACTCCGGATCCACACCAGCCATGCGCACCATGCTCGCGCAACTGCGACACACGCGCCCGTGAAACCACGAGAGTCGGCTCTGATACCACTTTGTAACGTCCCGCCTCTCCCAGGCCGAGCCCGCTTATATCCGGCAGCTCTCATAGGTCATAGACTGCCCTCACATTTAACCTCAGAGTTCTTTCGAGATCGGCTTCCGGAAAAAGAAGTTGCAATTTGTTGATATGAGTATTCTATTAATCCTATTAAGCCCTAGGCCGGGATGTCACACCGTCGAAGGCGTCCAGCTGTCAACATATCATAAGATTATTAGTAATATCTAAATACACCGGCCCAACCATACCTAGCATATCACAAGACTATCGGGTAATGGACAACTCATCTTTTATTGTGCTAGAGAGGAAAAAAAAGTAAATTACACTTTGTACTAGTTTTCATATTATGTCATTCTTTAACCATTATTTTCATTTACACAACAGCTAACTTTACATTTCAATTTAGACCACCCTAACTCAGCAACCATTCCGCCCACTAGCTTTCTCTCTCTATTTTCTTTTTCCCTCTAATAGTTGGGGAAATGCTAAATCTATCAAGGAGGAGTCCGGATCTCCGCTCTTTGTCGAGTCGACTCCTATTCCTATCTCCTTAAGTCCCTACAAGCCCAACAGCCTCGACCTCAATGACGATCATGACAATAGTGTGCATGACGATGGAGGAGGAGAAAAGACATGTCGGTAAATAAAGGGTGTGGTTGCGCATGTAAAGGCGAAGAGGAGAAACGATGGTAGCTCATGAAAAAAGAGTGGTGGTGGTGCGTGCAGCGGCAGTGGTTGCTGGTGGTATGAGAAATTTATTGTTGACACAATTCCTAACTGTGTTTATTAATCTTTTTCTATTAGTATTGCTGATACGTGAGTTACCGGTTGTTATAAAGAAAAAGCTAAAGTTTTAAGGTAGTAAAGATATTGAGATAAAAGGTAAAGTAGTCGAGTATCTTCCCCTTCCCTAGGCGTAAAAGAAAGAAAACCTCCCGTCTCTCGTCTCCTCCGCCGCCAAGACGAGTCGCGGCTGAACAGGGGAGGGGCGCCGCAATCTCCATCTGGCGAGCAGAGCAGGGGAGGGGAGGGGAGGGGATCCTGGTGAGCATCCATCCACATCCTCTTTCTGATTCATCTCTCTCCCCCACCGCCACTACTTTTGTCTGGAATTTGCTCGCGTTCGTTCGTTTCGTTAACCCTAGCTTCTCTTCTAGATCTGGATGAAGCTCTTCTCTTAATTTCAGAGCCTTAAACCTTAGTACTACAAGTAACAGTTTGTTTGTTCCCCCAAACCCCCATGTCCCAAGTTGGATCCGCCCCTGTTAAGACTATTCTGATGTTCTTGAGCCGCTTACTGGCTTATGCATGATCCTTATGTTATTAGTCACTCCATCTAGCTTGCTATGTGCTGCTCAGTGTCTTTTACCTCATGCGAAATGTGGTCAGAATTGCTTTTTATTTTGAGATAGTTCAGTCCCGGATTTGGACTGTAACCCTAACATCAAAGGGTCTTGATTTTCAGTATTTTCCACTTTTTTTAGCTTTTGTTCACCATGTAAATTGAGGCGTGTCATCATCTAGCATGATATTAACCATTTTCTAGCATGCCCTGTACTGATTGGAGTCTTTCAACTCATGAAAAGAATTATTTCAGTTCTATTTCCTCTTATTATATGGTTCTTTTGGTTAAGATGTACCGATTAAGAGAAACTAGCTTGCTTACCTTGTCCTAACTGAGTGAGTTCTTCTGGTAATGATTCAGAGCTGCTATCCCCTCCCCTGCCCATGCTGGTTGTTACTAAACCTGGTCAACTCCCAGTTGAGTTTCTTGAACCCTCTGCTGCCCAGAAACTGGTGATTGGATTTGATTGTGAAGGCGTAGACCTTTGCCGCCATGGTGCTCTCTGTATCATGCAGGTGAGTTCAAATGAAGCTTATGAAGCATGAAGTATGTTCATGCGATCTTCTGTTTCATAATAGTGGTCCTTTCAAACTATTTTGTATCTACCATCTCCTAATAGTGGTCCTTCCATCCTGCAAAGTGTCAGCCATGCCCTACATAAGGAAGTTCACTATCGCTTATATGCTTTTAGATTCCTTTTTCACGATCTTCCAAACTAGGAAAATCATTCGCAATGGTAATTGCTTGTTGTCTTGCCTCACCTTTGAGTACTATGTATTGATATGCGCCTTTTAGATGCAACCACTACCTCCTGTTATTTCCGTGTATTGTGTACACATAGATTCCTATTGAGCTTATTTTTAATTTCGACATATTGTTTGGTCCTTGCTGATGTAATGATGAATACCTTTTTATTGGTCCATTTGGATTTTTTTTTCAGATTGCATTTCCTGACGCTGTTTACTTAGTTGATGCTATTGAGGGTGGGAAAGAACTTATTGAAGCTTGCAAACCAGCACTTGAATCAGAATATGTCACCAAAGTTATTCATGACTGCAAAAGGGACAGTGAGGTGCCTAACCCACAACTCTGAAGTTATTGTAGTGCATTATTATTTTTTTCTGTTCTAGAAGATTGATCCTGACTAATGGTTGAGAGTTACGATATTGCAGGCTCTGTATTTCCAGTTTGGCATAAAATTGCATAATGTGATGGATACACAGGTAATCAGCATATGCATGTGGTGTGCACTATAGTGGCATGCTTACTGACTAAATTTATAGTTAACTCGGTACTTTCTCTGTTGTTTACATGTAAATTATTATCTGCTGCTTTCTTAATGATGTTCATATGCATGTGGTATGCGCCACAGTGGCATGCTTACTGACTAAATTTATAGGCATCTCGGTAATTTTTCTGTTGTGCACATGCAAATTATAATCTGCTGCTTTTCTAATTCTATTCATCAAAACTGAACCATTACCAATTTATCATGAGCTTAGGACCATTAACCCTGTACAGAGCTGAAATAATTGCATTATCATTCGCCATTGTAGATATGTAATGCGAATTGGCAGCTATTTGTATGGTAGTTTCTATTTGGAGGGACTTCAATTATCACTCTTGTGCAGATCGCTTATTCTCTGTTAGAGGAGCAGGAAGGGAAAAAGAGAGGATACGATGAGTACATATCTTTTGTCAGCCTCCTTGCTGATCCCCGATATTGTGGTACTTACTATACTGAATTAGTTTAAACCATTGAGTTCCTTTGAATCGAAAAGACGAAACTGCTGTGCATGTTTTGTTCCTTCTGATCTGTTCTTTCACAGTATACTGTATACTTATATAAGCTCCCCTTGGTTGTAGTTTACCTTGTGCTGGCATGCAAGCTCTTTCTTTTCCTTATACATATTATCTGCTCCTACGTTTTACATTTATATATTCTTAAGCATTGTCGCCATACCACCCTTTTTTTTTTCCTTTAGAAAAAAAAAAGGAAGTGTTGCCTCAGAGTTTTTTTTTTTGTATTCATGAAGTTCCACTTGATTGTGATCTTTTGGTGCCAGGTTCTTATTTTGAACTATAAGTTAATGTAATGCAACACATTATGCTTAGTGTTACTGCTAGTGCTTTAACTTTGATGTATATGCCTTACATATCCAAGCTGCTGCAAGTTTTGTCCAAGCGTAACTTCTATATGACATGGTTATTTCAGTCATGAATCGTTTCAACGTGGACATTCTGCCTTATTATATGTTCATTTAATGTGTGTATGATTAGGCCTTAGGCTGCAACCTATCAGTTCACCCATGAATATTAGAACACCTGGGATGATTGCTCCCTCTCTCTTATACAGTTTTCTATTACTTCTGTAATTCTTTAAATTAATACTTTGCAAATATGTTGAAAGCCTTTTGGTAGGTTGTGCATTGAAACTACAAAATGTACTGTGGTTGCATCACAGCAGTTTGCTGCTTCTGTCAAACATTTTTATCAATTAATTGTTATGCTCTTTAAGCTACCTAGATGTTGACAAAGTGTATGAAGGACCGCAGCACATTTTCTTGTGTTCTGTTTGATTGATCATATGGTGTGATACTGCTTTGTGTAGGAATGGCATATCCTGAAAAGGAAGAAGTCCGTACCCTTCTAAGGCAGGTTAGCAATATGTGACGGGAATTGTAGAACTTTGTTAGACAGAAAGTTATTGTGCTGAAGATCTGAAATCTTATGTTACTCTCTATTTTATGATAATGCTTGGCTATCCGATGCTTCACTGTGCTGATATCCTGGTTTCTTGACAACTGACAAGTGCTTACATCGGTTTTCAGGACCCTAACTTTTGGACGCATAGGCCTTTATCTGAAATGATGATTCGAGCAGCCACAGATGATGTCCGCTTCCTTCTCAGTATACATGAGAAAATGATGGAGAAGTTAAGCAAAGTATCTTTATGGCGTCTGTCAGTTCGCAGTGAGCTATACTGCAGGTGCTTTTGCATAAATGACAACAAGTATGCGGATTGGCCACCTCTTCCAACTGTCCCTGGTCAGTGCATCTAAATGTGTTTTTCTCCCCATTTGTTCATATTGCAAATCCATTTAGTTATCATATGCTAAAAGGTCCATTTTGCCTATAGTTTCTTCAGATACTATTGAAACTTGATAGTCAGAATGACAATTTTGAAATGCAAGTCAGGGTTGCTTTATGGGCTGGCATTTTTAGGTGAAGTGTTAGAAAGTAACTTGGACCTTGGCAAGCAAGTATAGTCTTAAATATAAGCATCACTAACACATCATGGATGTCTTTCAATTGTATTCTTTAATTCTTCAAGTTTATTTTATATTCAACTTTGTAAAACCGGACATTTGTGCTAAACTGCTGATTGATATTTGTGTCATACAGATGAAATTGAACCTGATGTTTATGTTCCTGAGGTGGATATCCTGTCAGTCTTGGATGTGCCTCCTGGCAAAATGGGGCGTGTTATTGGCAGAAAAGGATCATCAATAATGGAAGTGAAAGCATCTTGCAAGTAAACATACTAAGTCTGATTTTGTAGATGTTCTCTAAATCTATATTATTCTGTGAAGCTTTATTTATTCCTTTTCATTTCAACGCATATTTGCAGTGTTGAAATCCATATTGGTGGTGCAAAGGGACCTCCAGACAGGGTAAGTTTCCTAGGGCCTTTGTCTGTTGTAATTAATATATTCAATTGGTTACTGGTCAGTCCACACTCCACAGTCATGCTTCACTGACTTACTGGCTCCATCTATCGACTTGAACAAATTAATACTACTAATAACTAAAGTTCTTGTAATTCTACAAATGGAAAAAGACTACCAAATAGGTAGTCATTGAAACATATTATTTTGAAGTGCCAGGCTCAGCACATTGTTGTCCTAACAAACTTGTTAAGTTTAGAGTGGGTTTCATATAATCACAAACATTTAGCGGGACTGGGCTCCTAACATGTATGGCTCTAATAAAAAGTTGTTTCTGATTTATTTTGGCACAAGTCTTGCTGCTCTTTTTTTTTTATTTACATTTTGCCCTATGAGGTTCCATTCCTTGTCTTTACTACCTGTAAGTCTGTAACATTCTAAGCAGACTTATCTCAAGGTGATCACTACTGAACAGATATATCTATCTTCTAGCTAAGGTGATCAGTACCATAGTAGGCTTGCGTGGGCTAGGGCTGGATGCATATGAAAATTGTGTGCAGCCTATATATGTCACAATCAGTACCCTAGCTGGACTGATCCGTGAGGCAACACGTAGTGAGAAAGCAATTGCTGCTAGTAAATGAATAGCGAGATCACATTAGGTGGTCCTTCTCCCTAGCACATGAAAAGACGGTGGAAAAAAGGCGATACATACCCAAACACTGAATAGTCTTCCATTCTCTTCTTTGAATAACCTTCTACATTATGCAGACAAACCAATCGAGCATATACATATTTTTCTAATTTCCACTGATCCTCATCCAATTTCCCTTAATTCAGGTATTCATCATTGGACCAGTGCAGGAAGTCAGAAAAGCTGAGGCTATCCTCCGAGGCCGCATGCTGGAGTTCTAGAGCAACAACCTTTTGTGATACCCCGGCTTCAAACTGCTCTCCTCAATATGTCAGTCTTGTGTGCACAAAAGGGATATACAGAAATGCATGTGGTACTGGGTGCCTCCAGGATCTCTGATCCTAGACATGATAAAACAGAATAAAAAGAATTGAAAGGTTACCTCCATCTGTGCCAGTGCTCCCAGTTCAATTAATCACCATCATGCTGAGGTTTCTAAGCTTGCAGGTCTCCAGTAAGCAGATCAGAGGATCTGGGCGACTTTTGCTTGATCCATCTCACTCTCATTCATCAAACTGTACCTGTATACATTGAACATTGCGATCGCGCTCATCCCGGCGCATTCATCGTCGCCTGGACCAGCGTGCGATCGGCAGGAGAATTTGGGGTGGTGTCCTACCACCACCGTTAGGTCCGTTGCTGGAGATTGGGTTGGGAGATTTCGCTTTGAATGCTGATGGCAACCCCGTTGCCTGGGAACAAAACTCGCTATAGCTGTGATGCTTTGCCTGGAGGTCCGGCTAAACGTCATTGAAGACGAGACGGGGAGGGGAGGGGAGGCTCGCCCACAGGTGAGAGGTGAGGTGGTGATCAAATCAAAACCATCGGCCCAAATCTTCAGACTTAGCAACCAACCGGATGGGGACCCAACACGGCGATGGGTACGTCGGTGTTAGGACCACCTTGTTACTGTTCCTCGTGCGATTTTGTTAGGCCGGCTTAGCTTGTTATCACTGCTCCTCTCGTGTCTATCTCGTCCCAGCCTCTTGATTTGACCACCTTTTTCCTATGCGCCTCTTTTCCACGCCTAGGATAATAGGGCATGCCAATCTAAACTTTCCCAAATTTTGGTAAATTTTATCTTAAAACAACGTCAAATTTTAGAAGTTCTCCAAGCAAACATCACTTCCCTATTCTTTACAGGGTTGGGAGAAAGTTTGTGGTTGGTCTCGATGAAAGTTAAGCCTTTTAGTTTGTTATAGGCTGAGTTCGGGAGGCAAGGTTGCCAACCTTACTTTCAGAAAAAAAAAACCAAGCAAAGGATTAGCGCATAATTATAAAGTATTGGCTACAAACTTTAAAATGGATTAATATAATTTTTAGAAATTTTTATAAAAACATTCACATTTAGTAATTTAGGAAGCTTACGCGTGGAAATGAAACGGGAGAGGTTGGTAAAGTAGTAAAACACAGCCTTGGAGAGCTAGTCGCAAGTTGCTGGTGAAGTTTGTCATTATACAAGATCGCTTTACCTTTTATTAGTGCTTCTTACTAAATTTTTAGTCCTTTAGTTTTCTTCCAATACTTTACTAGTTACTGTTTACTATTATATTAATATATGATAAATTGGTAAATGTTAAAATTATAGAGATGGTATAGACAAGATAATGTTTGTTAATGAGCTTAACGACTTAGCCGAGGTGGCTTAATATCTACCTGCATTTTTGGAAAATATTTGGTGGAAACTACATATGTACATATGTAGTGAAAACCTAAAAACTAAAAACTACAGTTGGATTAAAAAATAGATGTATGGGATTTGTCTACGTATTTTAAACTTTTTATTTATGGTGACGTGGATGAATTTCGGACGTTTATTTTTTGATCAAACATTATTTTTCTTTTTTTTAACGACTCCCACTAAACGTGCGAAGTTCTATTGATAGAGCAGGAAATTCAACGGTATAGTTTGAACTGTATATTTACCCCCTATCCTGGTACGAAAAACTGCGTACAAGAATTTTATATACCATCTTAGCAGTAACTTCAAAGGAAACAATTGAAAAATTATTGTAGGAACGTCAGAGAGAACAATTCAACCCCCATAGGTTCCAGTATTCCTGGGGGTAAAAAATAAACTACTACTCCAGAATATATTTTACTTCATAAAAGAAGGCCCTATTTGTTTCAGCTTATGATTATTATAATCTAGATTATTAAGCCAGATTACTATAAGCTGGATTATAATAAGCTGACATAAAATAAGCTGTGAGTTGTTTGTTTGTCTGGATTATTGGGTTTGAAAGGCTAAAGTCTATAATGCCCTCAGCTATTTGTTCGGTTGATAGCATAGGTGGATAATTTTTCTCAAGTATGTAAGGGTAGTGGGTCTTTAGCCACTTAATAATCTGAAAAAAGCTCCTCTAGAGCAGCTTATTAGATTATAATAATCTGCTATAATAATCTACTTGTTTGTTTCAGCTTACTCCTAATAAATTAGATTATAATAGTCCTAAACCGAATCAAACAGGGCCGAAAACAAGTTGCAATTGAACTGTTTGTTCGTATCAGAGATTACCCAAATCCAATCCTTGTCCAGATTATTCCCCCCCCTGTTACAACTGGCAAACATTACTCCGTCACATTTACAACTGTTTGTCCCGATCCAATCCTCACTGTCTGGTAAAGAATGATAGTAGAAGCTGTCGGAATATTTGCCTCCAGAATCCATCCCCCCTGTAGCTGCTGTGATGTGTGCTGTGCTTCTCCTGCACCTGAAAATGGTCAAGCCGGGAGAGGAATTTTCCCCGGGAGATTTTGATCGATTTTGCCAAGTTCTATCCTAGGATGAATTTCGCGGGAGGGCTGTGGCTGAGGTGGGTTAGGCGATCGGGGTCGATCGGCGAGGCCAGCGCGGCCCACGTACGGGACGGCGACGGGGCGGCCGCCGTTTGGACGCACGCGCAGCGACGGCGACCCGCCGGAGATGGCGCCTAGCGGCGGCGCGGATCGGGATTGGCCGCGACCCATGTGTCCCGAGCGTGCCGCGTGGGGGCCGCATATGCATGTAATGTAACACCAGTGCGCGCACGCTTGCGTGTAACTCGCGTGCGGCCGAGAAGCGCGCGGCACGTCGACGGCGACGGCGGCCGGACGGACGGGGGAGGCAGGCAGGCCAGTTGGCCGGCGGTCCAGCCAGAGCCGGGAATCGACAGCGACGGCGGCTATCTCCCGGGCCATGGATTGGATATATACTCTGTATATTGCTTGATTAAATGATGCTATATACTCCATCCCTCTCTAAATATTTGACGCCGTTGACTTTTTAAACATATTTGATTGCTCGTCTTATTCAAAAACTTTTATGAAATATATAAAACTACATGTATACATAAAGATATATTTAATAATAAATCAAATAATAGGAAAAAGAATTAATAATTACTTAAATTTTTTGAATAAAGCGAATGGTTAAATATATTTTAAAAAATCAACGATGTTAAATATATAGCTATATATGCTGCAATCATTGTGCTATACATGCGTACACAGTACACTACGCGAGTATACGTACGCGTGGAATACTGGATTTTGGTCGTCCTTGCTTTCGGGCTAATTTGTACGGACTCCCAACTTGTCGTCGTACGCGTAGATACGTACAGATCCTGCAGATTAATGGTAATACTGAGTTTCAGATGAAAGTTGAGCTTCAGAAATGGACGCATAAATCTGACCTGCATATGCCTAGCTTATATGTGGGCGCTAATGTATACTTACATACGTACGTACATATACTAGGAGAGGGGAAGTTAATGGATAGACGACCATACACGTATGCGTACGGCCTCGTCCTCATGTTGGGAAGCTATCAGTTTATTATCACAATGTGATATATGCAATCCATTAATTTGCTGGGTTCTTTTTTTAACTTCATTTATTTATTTATGCGCATTATATTTCTGTAGCATTCGTACTTGGGTCTGATGAGATAGATCCGGGACCGCTTCCCGTGCAAGTTGGACATTGCTGGTCCAAGATTGTGGATAGACGTGGCGACTGAGCTATGCAACACAGCACAGTTTTTTTTTTAATCTAAAAATCAACCTGGCGTGCTGATTAAAAAATGGATCTTTTTTTAAATCACTAATGGTGTGGTGCAGTCGTAGGTGCATGACTCCACTCGGTAGGATTTAAATCCCGTCGCCTATGAATTAATATTACACACATACTCTCTCTGTTTCAGATTATAAGTCGCTTTAACTTTGGTCAAAATCAAAATGCTTCAAATTTGATCAAGTTTATAGGCAAATATAGTAATATATATAACATCAAATTAGTTTCATTAAATCTATAATTGAATATATTTTCATGCTATATTTGTCTTAGGTTAAAAATGTTACTACTTTTTTTCTATAAATTTGGTCAAACTTAGAGCATTTTGACCTTGACCAAAGTCAAAACGACTTATATTCTAAAACGGATGGAGTACATGTGTGCTTTCAATATAAATTTAGTGAGATCAGAGATGTGCTACTGATTTTCGCCTCTTAGAGCATGTTTGAGGGGTGTATTTACGGAGGTGTGAGTGAGTTGTTGTGTGCCTACCATGTAATTGCAAAAGAAGATTTTTTTTTCTTTTGTGGTGAAACAAAAGGAGCTTTCAATACTTTTGGAATTTCATATCACCAACCAGAAATTCAGAAATAGTTGAAGATTGATTCTATCCACAATCAGCAATTGACACTGGGCTTTAAAAAAAATCCACCATTTCTTAAAGATACTTTTTTGGGTGATTTGAAGGGGTGAAAAAGGGACGGGTGTTGGCACGGGTGTTTGCCAACCCCTGTCTAAACCAAGGTGGAAGGATACATGGGGATAAATGGATACCTAGTGCTATATGCTTCTGAATTTGAATATGGTAAAAAAATATGGATAGGATGCGGAAAGAGTTGTGTTCACCTGAATGTCTCGTGTCATCAAATACTCCCATAGAATTAATCTAGAGAAAGCCGCATATAAACTCAACTTGATTTCATCCTTAGTGAGAGAGAGATATATATATATATATATATACCCTAGGTGTCTAAGTTCAGCGCCATGGAATTTGGCGCTGAACAAAAGGGTCATTTTTTAAATAAGTTTTGGCCATGGTTCATTTGTATAATTAGTTTTTGTAAATGGTTAAATTGTCAAAATTTGTGGTCCAATAACCCTATGAAGTTTTAAAAATATATAAAAAATATTTTATTTATAGATTTTGTTTGTTTTTTTCATAATTTACTGTTGTTACTGCAATAACCGAGCTTCCTCTCCAAACTGTAAGGAAAACAATGGCATGTACAACCCTTTGCTATACTGCCCGCGCTTGGCCACTTGCACGCACATGTAGAGAGAGTAAAATAAAAATCTTTGATCAGCAAGCCCCCAATATTTTTATGCATATCAAGCATAAAAAAATACAAAATGGCTGTTGATAAAAATCTCACTCTTGTGTCTTTCTCCTTGTTAGTTTACCGGCCGCTAGCTAGCTCCTAGCCTCCAACAAGTACCTCGATGAGAAAATGACACTAGCTAGCTCCATAGCTACGGCCAGTAGTTAGGTGTCTTGTAATGTACTTACCACTGTTTAAGCAGACATTCTAGAGCAACAACCTTTCTTCTCCGTTGTTGGTTTCCTGTTACTTCTATCTCATTCAGCCATGCCATGGGAAGAGACATGATATATACTCCATCAAAGCTTATTGTCCTCTAGCTCCTGATCGATCACTGTATACATTTTTTTTTAAAGTATCAGGCTTGCTTGTTTAATTAACGATATATATCAGTGTTCTTCATATACTGTTAGTCCAGATATTATATTTATCGTTAGGCAGATTAACTTACGCTAAGTGGTCGATTGATGTACAGTAGAAACTCATTGTAACGAAATGACATCATGCGACAAGCTGGGAAGTATTAACTCATGGGTTTGCTAGCTCTACAGTAGATACTAGTACATGTCAATGTCACCCCTGACATTTACACGATCCTGACGTACACAACACGATCAGTATGACGATACTCCTACCCACATAGCCCGTCAATGTCGCCAACCCTAGGCCGAGTTTAGTTCTAAAATTTTTCTTTAAACTTTTAACTTTTCCATCACATTAAAACTTTTCTACACACATAAACTTCCAACTTTTCCATCACATCGTTTCAATTTCAGCCAAACTTCTAATTTTGGCGTGAACTAGACACACCCTAGCAAAGCTTATCATTCTGCACCGCTGTTCATCATAATTACGCTGGCCAGTACGAATGTTTAGCTTCTTCTAGCTGCTGATGTACAGTGTCAAGCTAGCTTAGCTACTGTAGCAGAGGGCCGGCAGCATCAACATCTGATCCTGCAGAACGTAGATACATTTATACTGATACTGTTAGTACCATGTACTACAAAGCAGTAGCCATGGCTAGCAGGAGCAGTAAATTTTGCAGCAAACATACATACATGAAAGTGCCCAAGGTTAAAGCTGCAAGTGAAAGCGTAAACCTTTTGGTGTTAGCTCTGACGAAGCAGTGGCAACAGCTGCAACTCTCTGCGAGCCCATTAACTACTGTACTAGGAGGAGCAGTCGTAATACGGCATGCGGCAGTGCACATACTACAGTATATTGTAGGGGTAACACTATTTATTTTTCAGTGTCGACAAGGGACAGTGGTGGTCATGAGCTCATGCAAGCTCGATATAGCTAGCTTACCTAGCCTTGTCTCAGGCTCAGACAAGTACTCTTTGATCTCCTCTCTTTCGATCCATCACACTTAATCATAATCAAATCATGGCATCTGGATGCAAACCTAAATTAATTAATGGCAGTCCTTTTCTCCTTCTTGTGGGCTGCTTTTTATTCGTTGTCAATTAAAGTAGTCCAAAGAAATCTCTCGTCTTGCTGACAAGATTGATGGCTCACAAACTTGTAACAGTACTATTGCCCCCTCTAGCTAGATTGATGGATTTTTCTAGAATTCTGCAGGAATGGATATCTAAAATTCCTACACCTATTTGATTTGAAAAAAAAACATATGAATTTTGGAGGATTTTAATCCTATAGAAAAATTTCCTATAAAGTCCTTTGAAACAAAGGATTATATTGAATCATATCCAATACTTTAAAATTCTTATGGAATGGAAAATCCTATAGAGATTTTGGAGGAAATTTACCCAGAGTTTTAACCTCTTGGTAACTTTTCTTTGAGTCTATCTCTCTCATCAAATTCCTGTGTTTTTCCTGCGGTTCAATCAAACGGTCATTCCTTTGTTTTTCCTGCGTTTTGCAATCTTTTGTTTTACACTTACATTCCTATCAAAATCCTATATTTTTTCTATTCCTACATTTTTTCAATCATGCGATTTAAAGGGGCTTAGTGTTTGCTTTCGCAAAGACTTGTTTTTTTCCTTTTTATAGTCTTAGCAGATCAAAAGTCAAAATTGAAAAAAAAAACAATAAAAAGAACTCATGAATCAACTCTAAAATTAAATTCTAACATTCAAAATTTGCATGCAGGTTATATATATAAGTCAATGAGAAGACAAGCAAGCTTTGCGTAACTCATTGGTTGAGATACGGCTTAGAAATCAGGAAAAGTAAATGAAGAAACCAAAACTAATTTAGAGTAAAACTTTTATATTTTTACTCTTAGAGAGAAAAAATAGGGCCGGAAAATAGAAAGCAATAGAAAAACATCTAAATTAATTGTAAAATAAAAAATGGCTCTAGTTTATAAGCCATAGCGATTTTTTAATTATGATCAGTTTAAGTTTTTCCCGTCACTTTTGTCACTCAGTTCTAGCTTTGAGACCGCTAAAGATAGAAGTATAAAGTCTTGTCATAAAACTAATTTTCGCTGCCGAAAATAAAAACCTTTCAAGCATATCTATATATTTCTATGGAAATATATTCAGTTTTGCTTGATCAAATAAGAAGATACAATTTCTCATTCCCCTGCTGTGTTCTCTTCAAAAAAGATACAATTTCTCATTAAGCATGGTTGTGATATCTCATAACTTACCAATTTTGAGTATTTTGTAATAGCTTTGGTGTCTAAATTAAATAATTGGCTTCTGCGCACACAGTGTGTCAATATCTAAAATTAAACTTATCCGTGCAGTGAAGGAAGTATCTAATATACACCACTCCGCCGTTCCAAAATATAAATAATTATAGGATTTAAAATATATACCATAATATAAACATTTTTGGGACACTTATTCTAATACATGAAATCCATTCATTTTTAACCATTCAAGTGCTTGGGAGGAGAATTTAGACAGTTCAAACTTCAATTTTTGACCATTGAGGTGACTGAAAAATATTTTTTTCACTTCACCTTGGTATTTGCTTAACAATCTGAAAAGTAAATTTTGGAATAGATAGTGAGAGTGGATTTTAAACTCTCCAGAGACGATGCTTCATTGTTTACATGTCACTCAAATAGTTATAAAAATATAAAAAAAACATTAACATGTGGTATATCACGCCACAAACATGCAAGTTAAAATGTAACTTCTACGTGTTGTAACGAAAAAACAATACGGGATATTCTCTTGAGAGTTTAGGGGGTGTTTGGGTGAGAGGGACTAAACTTTAGTCCGAGGGACTTATTTTTTGGTGTTAGATGTCGGCCCTGTATAGATGGGACTAAAACTTTTAAGTCCCTATCACATCGGATGTTTAGACACTAATTATAAATATTAAACGTAGACTATTAATAAAACCCATCTATAATCTTGGACTAATTCACGAGACGAATCTTTTGAGCCTAATTAATCCATGATTAGCCTATGTGATGCTACAGTAAACATTCTCTAATTATGGATTAATTAGGCTTAAAAAATTTGTCTCGCGAATTAGCTTTCATTTATGTAATTAGTTTTGTAAGTAGTCTATATTTAATACTCTAAATTAGTGTCTAAATACAGAGACTAAAGTTAAGTCCCTGGATCCAAACACCACAAACTAAAGTCACCCAAACACCCCCTTAGAATAGCATCTCTCTCTTAACCCTAGCTATAAGCTAGGCAGAGTAGTATTCCTACTAGTACAGGCTATATCGCTTACTCCCTTTGTCCTAAAATATAGCAATTTTTGCTTGGATGGGATGTATTCTAGTACTACGAATCTGGACAGGAGGCTTGTCTAGATTCATAGTATTAGGATACGTCCCATCCAATTAAAAATTGCTATATTTTGAGATGGAGAGAGTAGATGAATAGCTTATATTTCAGTACCCAATTAAAGAGCATTAACTAGTATACACCCCAAAGTGAGTGATAAATTGATAATAATAGAGGGATAGCTGTTCTGAGGCTATAGATGTGTGCATCACTGCACAAAGTGATCAGTGTGTGTGAGGACCATCTCTACAACTAGTTGTACTATACTTAGCAATTGTATGCTCTACTCTTCACTTCTACTCTCATCCATACATACATGTCATCTAATCTATATATTCATCATGTAGGGTAGAAGTACTTCTCTATGGTTTGGCCTCTTTATAAGAGCCTGCTTTCCCCTCCCTTGCAGCCTTTTGCTAGAGGAGCACACTACACACACTACCCAGAGCCTCTCTAGAGAGATAAACAGTTTGCTTCCAAAAAAAAAAAAGAAGAAGAATCTCTAGAGAGAGAAACAGAGAGAGAGAAGAGAGAGAAGAGAGCATAAATTCCTCATAGCAATCCAAAAGTGGAGTCCCTGCTGCATAGCTCGCTGCAGGCAGGCAGGCATCTTGTCTTATTGCTTTTCTTCTCGCTACCCCCTCTCTCTCTATCTCTCTCTCGCCTTTTGCACCATTACCAGCAGCAGCTAGCTACTACTGCAGCCTGCAGGCCCCTCCCTCCTCTTGCTGCTGTGCTGCCTCGAGCGTTTATTGCGTGAATGCTCTTTCTGTTGCTGCAATTCATTTCATAGCCCATATGATGATCTCTGCTCCTCCAACCTAGCTGTGCATAACTCCCATAGAATCAACAGCTAGCCCACATGTTTAGATCAGCTGTTGCAGTGAGCCAGTGAGTAAGTAGTGCTACCACTCTCACCAGCTCGATCCATCGATCAACCCAACTAAAGAGTAACGAGAGGTATGTACACTTCCATTTGATTTTTGTAATTTTAAGATCAGCTGCCTCATGGAGGTTAGATCAGGCTGCTTCTTCCATCTCTAACTTTTCTTTCTTTGATTCTTGGTAGGTTAGCTACGACGACGACGGTGTGGATGGATCGTGGCTTCAACGAGATGATCTTGAGCGAGAGCGTGTGGAATGGCGGCGGCGGCGGCGGAGATGGAGATGGTGGGGCGGTGGTGCTGCCGCCGGAGGTGGGTGGTGTCAATGCGGTGGACGGGAGCGGCATGACGATGCTGGAGAGGCTGGTGCTCGACGAGGCCCTGGCGGCGGCGATACTCGAGCTGCAGGGCATCCAGGCGCCGGGGTGCGGCGGGGGCGGCGGCAAGGTGGCGGTGGTGCCGCCGCCGACGGCCGGTGACGGCGGCGTCGAGGCGGCGGTCGCCTTCGCGGCGATGGCGACGGGGACGCCTGCCTACGCTGACGTTGACGCGGATGTCCTGCAGCGACAGCGGCAGCATCACCATCGCCACCAGGGCGCGATGGGGATGGCTGCCGAGTACGACGTCGCACCAGCAACACCGGCTGTCACGTTGAGCGCTGTACCACCACCACCACCACCACCTGCGTTCGCGACCGCAGCCGCCTCCGTTGACGGCGGCGGCGCCATGGACGCGACGGTCTTCTCCGGCATCGGCAACGACGACGTCGTCGACGCGGTGAGCGCCACGGTGGCGATGACTACTGCCACTGCAACGACCAGCCAGTGCGAACGAGTCAGAGGAGGCGGCGGCGGCGGCGGATGTGGACGTAAGCAACGCCGGCCGGGAAGAAAGCGGAAGGCCGCCGAGCCAACCGCCGCCGCCGCCGCGGCGGACATGTCGTCGCAGGACAACCCTCTCTGCAGCCTCCTGGCGTCGAACACCGCCGGCGCCGACGGCGGCATCCAGATCGCGTTCAGCACGAGCGCCCCGGCGTCGAAGCGGGCGAAGCCGTCGCTGAGCAGCAGCTCGTCGAGCATCAGCTTCGACGGCAGGGGCCCCGGCGGCAACTGCGGCGGCGGCGGCGGCGACGACCCACTGTACGAGCCCGACACGGAGGCGCTGGCGCAGGTGAAGGAGATGATCTACCGCGCGGCGGCGATGCGCCCCGTGACCCTCGGCGCCGAGGACGCCGGCGAGCGCCCCCGCCGCCGCAACGTGCGCATCTCCTCCGACCCGCAGACGGTGGCGGCGCGGCAGCGGCGGGAGCGCATCAGCGAGCGCCTGCGCGTCCTGCAGAAGCTCGTCCCCGGCGGCGCCAAGATGGACACGGCCTCCATGCTCGACGAGGCCGCCAACTACCTCCGCTTCCTCAAGTCCCAGATCAGGGAGCTGCAAACCCTAGACCGCCGGAACTACCCGAACGCCGCCATGTCCATCAACACCGCCGCCGCCACCACCATGGCGACATCCAGTTCACCAACCTACAACAACAGCAACGCCGCCATGCCAGCCTTCGCCTTCCCGGAAACCCTAGGATGCGGAGGAGGAGGAGTCGAGCAGCTGATCTAATCAATTTAGCTAGATAGATTGGAGACGACGACGACGACGACGACGACATGGAAGCCATGAAGGCGCATGGCGGCATGCATGCAAAGCAACTGTTGCAATGTGTTGTCCAATGTGAGACCATCATATGATAGATTCATCATTGTTAGGCATGGTGATTAACTAGCTACGATCATATCGATGGAATCATCATGCATGCCATGGACCCTATTAGCTAGCTTTTTTTTTTTCTCTTCTCCTTTTTCTTCTTCTTCTCCTTGTCGTCATAATTTAGTTCTGATCAGTTTGATGATCATGTATGCATTGCATGTCCAGCCTACGTGCTTTATTTCCGAGCTAGAGATCGATTATATATCATCTATCAACAAACGCTTTCGCCAAGCACAAGGAAAAGGGCTTGCAAAAAGTTTAAGCCTTTTCATTAACCAATCCCTCTCTCTTCTCTATCAACTTAAGTCTCTCTCACCTTCTTCTTCCTCATCCTCCTCGTCGTCGTCGTCGTAGTAGTAGTCTCCATCTTTTCATGTGCGTGCATGTAGGCGTAAAAAAAGCTAGCGAAGCTTTTCTCTCCCTTTTTTCCATGGCGTGACCTGTGCACTGCCCTTACGCTTTCTGAACTCTCTCCCCGATCCAAATGGTAATCACTACGCAATAGAAGAAGATGAAGAGAGGCAGAGGCAGCCATCGATCGTACGACTTATCACCACAGCTTGAAACATCATCATGGCGACTTTCTAACACGCATAATTAACCTCTCTCTGTGCTGCGGTAAAAGGGAGGGCCTTTTTCCTCTCCTTTCTCCGTGCGTGGAAAACCCTAGCAAAAGCGATGACCGATCGATCGATCGATCAAAACCGAGGAGAGAAAGGGGAACTGAAAAAGATCGCACCACCCCAATGGCGAAATTAATCATATGGTTCATCATTGCTCGCTTTCCCCTCTGCTGGTCATCGTCAACACAAAGCGAAACAAAGCAAAGCAAAGCTTAGTAAGACTAAATTAAATCTATTCATTTCTATTGCGAGATCGAGGCGAGGAGAGAGAGCTAGGTCGTTCATGGCGACAGCGATGGTGGTGGTGGCCATGGCGATGGAGATCGAGAGAGGGGTCAGGGAGTTTGAGCCCACTACGACGACGAGGACGAGCTCTCGCGCGTGTCAGTGACTGAGTAAGGTACTGCTAAGATGGGTGAGCTTTTGAGAGAGCGGGAGCATGCTGGCTCGGGGGAGCTGCATGAAAAGGCATGCACTACTGCATCTAAAAGGAATCATTCCCTTTCCCTTTTGCCTCAGATACCCCTTTTTCGAAAAGGGATAATTTTTTTAAAAAAACACGCCTTCTCTCTCCCTCTCTGGTGATCCTCGGGGTTCGTGTGGAAATGTGCTCGATGAGATGCTGTCATCGCCTTTGAATATCTCGGTGAGATTTGTATTTGACGGTGTTTAACCAAGTAGAAGAAAACTAAGGGCGAGGATGAGATAGTTGACTAAGTACTAATTCCGTCCCAAAATATAATAATATAGTTTTAGAAGAAAATATATGGTGGAAACTATATACCTAGTGAAAACCCGAAAACCACCGTTGGATGGAAAATTGAACGTTTAAGATTTGTTCACGTCATCACGAGTAAAAATTTTACTCGTAAGTTTACTCATGTTTAAAATTTTGCTGGGAGTAAAACTTTTACTCCAATGGTAGTTCTCAAACGTGGACGAATCTCAAACATTCCTCTATTGCGACAAATCTGGACATGCAGCTTTTTAGATTTGTAGTTGTAGTATATATATGTCCCATCCAGTACTACTCCCTCCGTCAAAAAAAAAAAACTCATCCTAAAAAGGGATGTGACCTCCTATTACAACGAATTTGAACAGTCATTTATCCAGATTTGTGATACTAGCTAGGAGAGATTATATCCCCTCCTAGGTTATTTTTTTTTTGGGACAGATAGAGTAGATTCTTATATATTGGGACGGAGGCAATAGCTAGTAGCAGATTTTCCGATGCGATTACACGTGAAGATAGATAGATTTTTAAAGTACAATTTTATTTAATATATAACTCTCTTTTTATTTTTTTTCATAAATACAACTATGTTGTGTACGCATATTCATTACCTTATGTTTCCGTAAATATATATCGATCAAGCTCCACTGCTAAATATATTTGTATCCAACACATGCATGCATGCATCTAATGTGCAATTCTTTTTCTACTTTTCTCTAATTAATTTGGTAATTTTATCTCCGCAAAGATTATTTTAAAATGGTTTAGGTTGCGACAAAGCCCACTTCCAAACTCTCCTTAGCTCAACGGATACGAGTGACTCAGTAATCAACATTGTCTAAACTTAGAGATTTTTTATAAGTATTTTGCATGCCCATTCATATAAATAAAGTACAAGCCCTTGAAGGTTTAAAATATGCTCCTTTCTGTCCGTGAATGTTAATTAGCATTTGGAGAGACTAAGGTTGTAAGAAAAAGACAATGGTACTTCTCAATATTATGGGTGGTTGAAGGCGGAAGGTGATTTAGGGCATGATGGAAAGAAAATTGAATAAGTGATAGTTGATGGAACAAACAACTTGAAATGCTTATATTTGTGGACTTCTTATAAATATATAAAATGCTTATATTTATGAAGGGGACTATAATTTTTCATTGTCCTAAGTATAGTTTGACCTAGTCACCTTTGGTAGGCTAGTCTCTGATATGGTACCTTATATTAACACCTCTTTCATAATGAGCCTTTTCCCTTCTCACCTCCATTTTCCATCGCATGAGGGCACCCACAATGATTATCTATAGGCTCTCTACAAGAGATCCATGTGAGCATATTTTCCTACTTGGAATGTATTAAATGAAGAGAGAGAGCAAAGCTATCTACTAACTTAGAGATAGTCTATAGAGAAAAACGAGACAATGCATGAGAGAGCTATAGATACCAATGTAGACATACTATTAAGGTGGTTTACTATTAATCGAGTCTATTGCTGAGATGTACATGTTTTATAGATAGCACCTTACTTTACCATTGCGGGTGCTCTGATAGTCGGTAGTTAGCATCAAGATTTTAAGAGTCCGGGTCAAAAGGGTTAGGTTAATTATATATACTAGTTAATACTACCCACGTTTTGCTGCAGGATTTGTGAAGAAATGCATGTTATATATTATAGAAATGATAGTTTCATATATTTAAATAATATGAAAATAATGTAGAGATAATGGTTTGATATTGTTTACCTATTGACTTCTAAAAAATACAACAAAATTATAAATGATATATCATGTTTGCATGGTATTTAAAATACTCTAGATAATAATTGCTAGTGGTGATATTATGACACTTGCATGTTAACTTTTAAGAGTTAGTAGTCATAAGCTATATAAATATGTTTGGCTTAAAGAAAAGGTTCAGTTGGACTGCAAAAGAGCCCATGGGTTGTGCCCCATTACCACCTTCAAACGTATGGTAGTACGCGACCATGCATGTGTGATCCATATTGCCTAGGGATAAGTCTATTTTACCTCCGTCATCTCTTGCACTTGGTCAAATTGTATCCCTCAACCACGAAACAAGATATAAGAGCAAGTACAATAGTAGGCTATAAGCCAGCTATAACCACATATCGAGAAGAAAAGAGAAGAGAGAGAAGAAAGCGGACTACAGATTTGTAGCCAGCTACAACACGGACTCCAAAACGTTTTGTGTGTATGAGATGTGGGACCGGGTATTAATGGTGTAGTATATGCTTATAGGTAACTATTGTATGTGGGACGGGCCGTCGCCGTCACGTCCTGGTGAGAGGGGGGAAAGAGAGAGGGGGGAGAGGTGAGGAAGAAGATAAGATTAGGATGACATGCGGGTCCCGCTTGCTGACTCAGCTAGTAAACCATAGTCAATGTGCCACGTCACATGAAACCACCTTCCAAACCACTTGAGGAGTCTATTTGCAACGGTTTTCGAAGATGCAGGAGGTGTCATTGGTGAAGAAACCCTTTTTACTCCCGGTTGGTAAACCCCTATAGTCCCGGTTTTCCAACCGGAAGTAAGAATCCGGGACTAAAGATCGCTATCTTTAGTCCCGGTTTAAATACTCGGGATCTTTAGTCCCGGGTGGAGTTTTTCTTTTCTTTTCTCTCTTTCTTTTTCAATGTTCTTTTGCTATTTGCCCAAATCATCTCAGATCAAATCATTCACAGCAATATAGTTCATCTCAAATCATTCACAGCAATAGTTCATCCCAAATCATTCACAGCAACATAGTTCATTCTCAAAATCATTCACAAGAACAATTAACACAGATCGAATCACACATTCAACATAGATCAAATCACACATTAAGGAAAAAAGAAAAAAGAATCCACGCAGCAGCGCCAGCCTCTACTGCCTGCCGCCGCACCGGCCTCCGCGCCGGCCGGCCGCCCGCCTCCCCCTTCGTATCCGGTGGCGGCCGGCCGCCTCCCTTCCCGGATCCGCCGCACGAGGCTGCCTCCGCCGCTGCCGCCGCCCGGCCGCCTGAGAATGGGGAGGAGAGGGGAGGAGGAGATGAGGAAGAGGAAGAGAATGAGGAGAGGAGGAGGAAGAGGAAGAGATGGGAGTGAAGAGGAGGAAGAGATAAAGGTGAGAGAGGAGGAGATAGAACTTATTAACTGATCCCGCCTCCTCCTTCTCGATTTCACGCACGCCTCGTCCTCTCCGCCGCGCATGCCGATCTTTTTTTCCGGTTGGTGTTACCAACCGGGACTAGAAATAGATCTTTAGTCTCGGTTGGTGTTACTAACCGAGACTAAAGATAATAGAGGGGTCTGACACCGCCTGCTGTTTTTTTGAACCGGGACTAAAATTGATCTATAGTCCCGGTTAGTGTTCCCAACCAGGACTAAAGATAAAAAAGTAGCTCTAACCTTTTGAACTGGGACTAAAAAGACTAAAGATAATCTTTAGTCCCGGCTTTTATTGCAACATGGACTATTGTGGAATTTGATCGACCGATCAAAGATGGTTTCTCCCGTAGTGTGTTATACCCGGTTTTATAGTTGAGGGATGCATTTCGACCAAGGGGAAGATATGAGGGAGACAAAATAGACTTATTCCTATTGCCTATATGTGGAAATGTGTAATCACCGAGCTCTTCTTCAGTCCTGCGTCGTTAGTTAGCTGTGCAATTGTTTCTCAGCCGCTTAACCAATTTTGCTCTTAAATTTGCTTTATCGAGCAAAGAATTGGTTTTTTATTAGTCATAATCTGCTTGTTCGTCGTCATATACGTGAATGCGATGGTACGTAGGTCCGTTGTTCTTTTAGCGAGAAGACATAATAAAAGTTTCATTACTGAGAGTAAGCATAGATCAGTGAAGTATGGCATTGTAATTTTCTAT